TCAGGAAATGTTGCCGTGCCTGGCAGCGAATGATTAATGCCTTTGAGGATGCAAATTAGGGCTGCTGGTAACTGGAAGTATGATAATTGGGGCACCATAGTTTTTTATATGTTTCAACCTACCTGGATTATGGAGTATGCCCAATGAAAGAATATTTAGGGTTGAGGCAGGATCTTTATAAGTCACTATACATAAGTGTTATTCATCTTAGATTGCTGATCATGCAATGGATTTCTAAAGTGCTTTTTCCTGGATTCCGAGCTTTCTCTGAGCTTGGGGAGCTTGAAGGATATGTCTGTTCACTAATGACCAGAAGGTCGCTCTAGTGTGAGGTTTCCATGCATTTCCACTGCACTTCTTGATATGACTGCTGGGTTCTCCTGCTCTTATTAATCAGAACCTATAGATGTCTGTCTGGAGTATGGATCGTTCTTTAATATTAATCTCCCTCTCATATGCTCACCACACTATGGGGTTGGAGTCAATCTTTACCATGCCATTCTGTTCAATAAAGTAGGGTGATTGAACAATATAACCTAATGTTTTGGGGAATGCATTCGTTATATTCAGGGCCCGAGTAAATTTATTTATTATTGCGTGGCTGTATAAGCACAACTGTTAGTTTTAATTGCCGTGTAAGAATTTCGTAAATTTATTAATATTGGGTAGATGCGAGTGATTGTAAAGGTTTAAGCCTTGATCATTGTTCTGTATGCCGCACCACCCCATTGCCCTCAATTGGTAGACCATGACCACTGCTATTTTAGAGTATCTTTGCAGCTGTCCCAATGATTAACCAATTGTCTCGCAAGCTTTAACAACTTTGCTCCTCAAACAGTAGTGTTCCCACATTCCCTTTTGTATTAGGTGTTGATCTGTGCGGGTGGCTTTTTCAAAATCAGACAAATAGCGATCAGTTACTAATGCTTGTGTCCTGGAATCGATGACCTGGTGTTACATTTTGGTTTGGTTGTGTGGCTAGACATGCCAGTGTTTTTTCGGTTTTTCCCGCTTTTTGAGTTTACGGCGTTCTATAGGTATGACAAAAGCTTTCAGTTTCAATGTCTTTTGTACTAAGGTCCATTAACTTCGCTTGAGCTATCCTGGCTTTGTCTGTTGCAGTTTGTTCTTTTTGTCTCGGTGAGTGAAGTGGCCTTAGTTTAATTTGTATGGTGCTGGTTTTATTTCTTATTGCTTGGTGTGACAGCGGATGATGGTCCATTGGAAAGAGATTTGACATGGAGCGTTATTCGACAGGGGTTTCTGCCTGTACGTAGTGTATACAAGGCGTAAGAAGTGATGCATCTGCAGCCTCTTAAGAAGTATACAAACGTAACTGGTTTGGACTGGGACCCATGAAAGATTGAACGATTGTGGGCTGCCACTTACACTGAACATACCCATCTCAGCTCGAGTTTAATGTTAACTGTGAGTAAATGCGAAACGGAGGCCACGAGGACAGTCTGTTATGCACGTAATGTGCACTCTTTGCTCGTCCAACATTATTTTAAGTTAATGGTTTTTAAGTTTTATTTGACTTGTTTATTTGAGATGAAGAGTAGGCAAGTTTGTTCTGTCTGAATTCTATTGTTCCACTAGTTCAAAGTTATATCAATCACTTATGGGTGTTAATGATGAGTGACTTTGCAATAGTTCGGGAGTCAGCATAAGTTGAATGCATTAGCTTGTGCTTGAGTTGCGGTTATAGATAATCTGGAATAAGCAGTTTTCTCAATTCCTTTGTAACTTTTGAAAATATGTGGCTTTGTGTTAATTACGATTACATAATGAAATGGTTCCTTTCTTCTGGCCCTTTGATCTCCAGAATTCTCCTGTAATAGCTCCAGTACTTTTGAATCTGCCTGTCAATGACTTCAGCTTTGTTTACTGAATCGTTTTCGAACTCTTTGTGGAATTGCGATGTAGTATAGGTTATATTTCCTAATATTTTGGGTTTAAGTGTCAAACTGCAAACATTGACACTTCGAAATATATGCAGGCTGGAACAGGTCGTGGAGGGGCTTCTGCACCAACTAACCGCGGCTCTGGTTAAGTTTCCCTGTGTCTATTTGATGGTTTTTTTACCTTGTATGGTAATACACATGACATGGTTATTTGTGTTTATGCTTGGCAACTGTTAACAGTGTTTAATTAGCTACTGGAGTGGACTATTGTATCGTAAATGATCTTGGTGCTTGTTTTTGGCCGTAATTTTTTTTCTGGCAGCCATGGCGGCACCAGGTCAGGGTGACAGGAATCGTCGGACGGGGGCCTCTCAGCAAGTGGCCTTGCGGCGGTGCCGTGGCCTGTGGTCGCGGATTGGCGTCGGCCTGGAGGCGGTGGCCGGTGGGAGGAAGCAACCTTTTGAAAAATGTCAACAGCAGATGAGGCTTGACAACGGATATTGGAGAGCTAATCAGTGCTTGAATGCGCATGGCAACCTTAATGGAGTTCCAAAGCTTGCAAAAGCAAAATCCATTTTGTGATTGTCAAATGTAGGATAGAGTCAGCCGGTGCTAGCAGTTCGTTCCTTTATATATCGCTATCTTTTAACTTCAGATCTTGCTAGCAAGCTTTTTCTCTTGTAACTGAAGGATGTTGCAGTGCTCTCTGGCATCTGGGTCTCTCTTCAGCTCTTCATTAATTTGGGCAGATGCTTTTATTGCTTGTTCTCGTCTCATCTATCTCCGAGATAGGAGAGCAAATCTTGTACTACAATATAATAGTAGGTCTTAACATTTCCATCGACATTCTTAGTTTTCAACTTTTGTGCAGAAATATTGAGATATTCAGTAGGGTTATTATGGTTATTAAAATTGACATTGGAGTTGAATTCTTGGGGGTTTAGCAGCCATTAATTTGAATTGAGGCATTTGGATTTGACTGCGAAGTGGTCGGTTTGTTGATTTTACACCCTTGAAACTTGGATCCTCCTTCTCTTTATTTTTTTTTTGGTCATACCTTTTCGCTCATTACAGGTAAGGCATCGAATGCCATAAAAAGCCATTCTATGGGTGTTGGCAGCCTATGATTTTTTCATTACAGACGATGAATCTCCGGGAGTGCCGTGGGTACTTAAGTTCACACATGAGTCAAGACCTTGAAAAGAAGGTTCGGATACAATCTCGCCCGATAATCTTGATTCGTTTTTGCATATCCTCTGTACGAGCATATATTTGATTTTTTTTCCTTTGTGTTTGGCTGAATCTACAATCCTGCTCCTTACGTGTAATGCTTAATTGGTTTTGGTTTTAAAACTAATACTTCCTTAATTAATGAATATTAGTTAGTTGTCCCCTTAATAGACAATACAGACATCACAAACTACTAGAAATCTCTTAATTTTTGTTTTGGATCAACTCTTCCTTGATGTTGGTCAACAACCTGATTTAATTTTTAAATAGAACAACAAACAAACCTTTCCCGGACTGTCTGTTTCTCCCAGAAACCTTTTTATTTTCTCGAAAATTTTATTATACTGATATCGGAACAGCCTGCGGCCCCTTTGCTGTCCCATTTGGAATAAAACAGGAAAATTATCCCAACTTGAAACAATTTGAGAGTTTTCGCAACCTAACAGTAAGAAGAATTTACCACGAAATGCCCGTTTTTTCTTCACAAATGTGTTTCACTTTGATATTAATACCCGACATTATATTTTAATTTAACCTTTAACATATTATTCAACATAATTTATGAACTAATTTAAAGAAATAAAATAAAAAAAGTAAAAATATTACATAGGCAATAAATTTAAGAAATTTATAATGTTCCAGTTTGAATTTTTTTACTATTAGTTATTTTTATCATATATTAATATCTCTTTCCTTTATCATTTTTTAAAAATAAATAATATATCTCTGTCTATCACATAATAATTATTTATTAAAGCATAATAGATATAAAATTTTAATTTCTTCTTAATATTTTTAATTTTTTTCAAATGAGAATATTTTATAAGAAAAAATTATTTATAAAATAATTATAAAGCATAATATAAAATTTTATTTTACTTAATATTTTTATTTTTTCAAATGAGAATATTTTATAGAAAAAAATTATTTATAAATAATATAATTTTACTTATGAAAATGTCATTTTAAAAAAGTGAAAAATAGTTCGAAAACACGTCTTTTGTTATGAAGGAAAACTCTAGAAAACAACTTAAATTTTGAAAAACTAGAAAACTGGTTTTTAGTTTTCCAAATAGAAAACTGACTGATTTAAACACAAAACTCTGTTTTTAGTTTTCTTGGAAAACTTTTTTAGAAAACAATTCGAGTTTTCTAAAAGTGAACACACTCAAAAGATCCACACAAAAATTCTTCAATAAAGAGGAATAATCCCGCTAAAGGAGAGAAACTATTAACCCCACTAAGAGGGTACAAAAAATACTCAAAATCTATCATCTGAGAGATTAAATCAAAATTTTATTTCAAACGATCGTAGGTTTGGAAATTATTAGAAAGAAATTAAACAAAATAAAAAAAAAAACATAAGAGACAGATATATGAAACTACCTTATCGTTGCTAACCAAAGAAGATGATCGCCGATGGTTTAAAAACAAAATCTAAAAGAACATAAAAAAGAGAACCAAAGACAGCTACAATGGTGATCTTATTGCTGCTCCCTGGATTCTTTTTTTTTCTTTTTTTTCTTTTTTTGGTATGTTATATTTTCTTCTGGACTATTGTCAATATCTGCATACTGTATTGCAGATTTTGTGCTCTATGATTTATCAATAATATCACAGATTATTTATCTAAAACAAAAATTATAGTGAATAGGATTAAATTTGAAATCCATTCACATTTTACACAAAATCATCCTGGTCATTTCCTTGATCCAGTTTGTCTTTAGAGAATACCTTTTCCTTGTCATCCTCGTACGTTTAAGGGGGGAAAAAAGGGAAGGAAAGAGACAGCCATGTGCCGAGTTTTAATTAAAAGTCACTCGATTTTGGTTGTGTTTGAAGGAGTGTGCTGACAAAAACAAAATCTTTTATTTTGCAATACAAACAAGAATTCATAAATTTATGAACGCAAAGAACATGAACACAACCAGTAGATTCTACAACATAGCTGAAGACTGCAACGACCTTCAAAATCAATGGCTCACTTTTTTCGTATCCATAATTTCCCTAACCAAACTTGAGGTTTACATGCAATCTTGCAAGTTATACATGCACGAAAGAATGAGGTAAGAACGAACAAAGCACAAAAGACCTATATTTCGATATGTACATTCACTCGCAATAATCAAAAGAAACCTGTTATTTAGGGACATTTGCATCTTTGATTGCAGCCTGCTCACCTGACTCATTCTTGTTTATAACTTCAACCTGTTCACAGTTTGTTGTTGCAAAACTCGACTGTGATTTAGTTCCGGAGGCATGTCTGCCTGCACCCTCACTCTCTGGAGACACCACTGCCTCTTTGCTCTCTGGGGATTCTGCCTGTGGGGTGTTAACATGGGATTTGTGCAACCCACCAGCTCCTTCTAATGCAACTTTATTTTTTTCTTCACTTGGTAACCTCTCCAGTCTTTGTACTTCTGGAGGAGTTGTAATGGCTTTGGACTCGTTCAGAAGTTGATTAACCAGTTCATTCCACTTTGTTCTTGCTCTAGTAGACTCTGATTTAGATTTTAAGTCATGCCCACTTTCACTGTGACAATGCGAAGACCCTGCCTCTTCATCTTCTTGGGGTTTTGCCTCTGGAGTGCTCACAGCATGCGGTATATTCAAACTGACAGCCCTTTCTAGTGCATCATGGTGTTCTTTTTCAAGTGTCTGTAGCCTCTCTAATTTCTTTACTTTTGGTGGAGTTGTAATGGTCTCGGAATCTTTTTCCATCAATATCTATAAAAGGCCAATGACTAGAAAAGTCAACTGTCTGTAAATATTCAATAGAAAAATGCAAAGCCTGAGAAATTGAATGGAATTTCCTCTTCTATCACAGGGCTCTATAGACAGAATTACACTTGAAACAATTAACAATCATGGGCGTGCTAATTTCATGGCCTGAGGTAATTGGCATTACAAGTTCTACAAATTCTCTGTTAAAGAAATGGCCTCATGAAAAATAGAAAGATTATAGGTGAAACTGCCTTATTGAGCAAGTGGCATAACCCATTTCGTATGCATGTGATCAACTCAAAAAAAAGTAAAAGAACAAAAGCCCCCAAAGAGAGAATTTACCAAGGAAAGATCAGATTTGTTGCGCTCTATATAATGAAATTCTATATATAGAAATAGCCTCTTTGTAAACAGCAGGGGGAAGGCTACATATATCAACCCTTCCCAGAACTCTTAAACGTGGGATACTTCGCGCACTGGGTCACATGCACACACGCACACGCACACGCACACTCACACACAAGAGCGCTTTTGTTGCAGTAAATAAGATAAAATTGTGAGTTATGTGTGGTTGAGAGAGAGAGAGAGAGAGAGAGAGAGAGAGAGAGAGAAGTGTCTCTCTTACAAATGAATGCAGTCTCCTCAAGTCCCAAAAAGGAAGTCCAATTCAACGCACCAGTAAATCCTCGTACTGAGAAGGACCTAATAGTTTCACCTAAATACTACATTTGAACCGGGAAAAATTTGCACATATTGAACAGCAACAGACAAAAAGGCTTTTCAATGACATAAAAAAGTATAACTTCAGTTTAGAAAGTAAGACCCCAGTTTTGCAGCTATCTTACATGATAAAAAAATTGGAGAACATAAAAATTACTTTAGAGAGAAAATTTTACCTGCAAGGCCTTCTCTGACTCCTTTTTTATCCAAACAATAGCATGATCTGATGTGGCACTAGATGATAAAACAATATGTTCAAATCTTCCGTCAACAGGAATGGCAGTTCTGACCTCTGGAGGAAACCTCCCACATCTGTGGCAAAAAAAATAGGGAACAGTGTTTTAAGACAAGTACTCAACTGAACTAAGCCTTAATGCTGACCCAGCTGGTCAACTATGTATTCATTTTCTTTTATTTCAAGCTTAAATTAAAGGTACTCTTCACCAAATTATCCCAAGTAAAGTTTTGAACACACAAAACCATAATAGGCAACTATGACAACAATGTCATCTAGGTATAAGATAATGTCAAGAAGAAAAAACAACCCATAGAGAAACTTCAAAAGGGTTTATCGCTGAATACATAATTGTCACTCACAAAACAGATAGCTCAATGTTAATCTATATTTATATGACAATAAACAAAATAAGTTTATTATCATATAAATAAATTGCTTGACTATCTTAGAAAATCAGATCTTTTGTTGAATTCGCATTGATACAAAATCATAGGTACCTTACAAGCTTTTTGAAATCTTTGAATTACTTTGAGAAATATCAGAATAACTTCTGAATGGAATTTATAGAAAGTAAAATGTCGATTAATTCCCTTTAGGCTGCTAATGAGTCACATCATAAAGACATAGTGGCCCTCAGACAAGCACCACAGTTTCCTCCCTTAATATTTATGTAGATAAGTGAATAATGAGGCACAGAAAAATTAAGTACCTGCAGTTAGCTACTGATGTATCTAGTAGAATCCTATCTGGCAACATGTGATAATAGGGAATAAAATTATAACAGATTAACTCAATTTTATAGGGAGGGAACCATCTATCATTCTGTTAAGGCATATAAATATCATGTACCCTCAAGCTCACTTCAATTTTCAGTCTATCTCCATCGTACACAACTTAACATTATACACACAAGTTATGACTATCAGATCTTGCCCGAAACATAACTTATAATAAGATCTTCATTAGATAAACCTCAGTAGCTCCCCTCTCCTTCAAACATTTCCAATGTGCCAAAACAATTCAAAAGAAGAGGGTACTCATGCATCATCGCAAGACAATCAAAACAAGAAATATATAGGCATTTCTAATAGTGTACAACTAGGACATTATGAATGCAACCTTGTAACAGGGTAGATTACATTTTTCAGCTCAACTTAAGGTTGCATGTTAATTAAAAGCTCCATAAGGTAATGTAAACATATAAGAAGCATATGTACTCCAATCAATACCTGAAATGAGGCATTTGATTGTCATAGCCTATAAATTGAAATCAATACCTGCAAAATTTCCTCTCTACAATATGATACATTCGTCCAGGTGCATAAAGCCTTCTTGGATCTCTAAGCTTTCTTCCTTCTGGTATGAAGGTATCCCTCAGGCAGATCAAAAATAACAAGCAGGGCAAACTGTCCAAAGCATCAATGCCTGGATTAAGATATAATAATGATAATTCACTCTACTAAGTTTACAAGGGAGAGAATCATATGATAAAATGAAAGGCAAAGCCTGTGTTTAGTCATTGAGAGAGGAATACAAACCAGAAGATTGACCCAAAAATATCCTCCAATGGTGTGGCCGTTCTTGGTAAGAAATCATCCTAGATAAAAATAATAATATCAATTTAATAATTAAGACAGCATTGAAAAAAGTGCTAAAACTGAAACAGAGTGATTTCACTAATTAAGGTACAATATTGATGTGAAATTTTAATTAGTGAAATTCGACATATAACATTGAAAAGCAAGTATCAGAATTGAAAATATAGATGGTAGCAGACAAATGAATAAAAGAATATTAGATGGAACATTGGTACAGATCCATGAAAAATAACAACGGCTACAAAGTCCAATCAACCATCATGGAAATCTATGAGCTAACCTTGATCATTTGTTCTCCAAGATTAACTATACATTGATATTTTGTGATCACTAAACTCAGAAATTATGAACAACTCAAGTTTTCTTAACCTACTTTGGCATCATAAAAAAAAATAGCCAAAACATGTCAAAAATTTTCTGTCATAATTTAGTTATTTGAAGCATGAAACCCAAATTACCACAAAATTTGACCCAAAAATACTCAAAAACCCAAAACACATCTTTTCAATAGAATTCAACAAACAATGATCAGAACTCTCCAATTATTAACAACACGAACAAAAAAATTCAAAATTCCATACCTGCAAAATAATAGAGTTAATCACATCAGCATACTTAACAGCCAAGTTAAGTGACATACACCTAGCCGGAGCAACTGCATAACACTTAATTTGCTTTCTTGGGATTCCTCCGAAATGTTTGTTATGATTAACAACAATAATAGTCATCAAAGCAGCCACTCCTGAACCCAAAGAATGCCCAGCAAAAACAAGAGTATATTCTCTTCCATTACTCTCCCATAGCTCCTTTAAAGTCTTTTCTTCTTGATCCAGTATCCAAATAGCAGATTTCAACAATCCATGATGCACATAACCCCCATCAAACATTTGCATACCTAATCTATTATCTAACAAAACTTTATAATCACTTTCTTTGATTAAATTAAGCCCACGAATTGCAAGAATGATTTCTTTATGTTCATGGTCGACATAGATTAGGTAAGGAGGAGCTCGGCCATCGGTTTGCTCATAGGTGACTCGCTTTATTATACCCTTGGGGTCTAAAGGAGATGAAAACTGGGGCTTTTGGGTGTCAGTTTCATAGACAGAGAGAATTACGTTGCAGATGCGAGGGACTGGTTCGAATTCTTCTGGTGTGGCTAATGGCCATGAAGCACTGTCATCGGAACCGACATAGGTGCATCGCTTCCATGCCCATCGCAAACAGCCTACAGCCAATACGCATTCTACTACTCCCGCCATTAAATGTCAGCTCTTGAAGAACTTTCAGGATAAAAAAGAAGAAAAAGAAATGTGGGTTTGATCTTGGACTATCAATGGAAGCTGAAGAGTGCTTTTCTTGAAATTTAGAGTAATTGAAGCAGTTCTTGTTTTCTAGAAGATGTACAGAGAACAAAGACAACAAGGTAACTTCTTGATCGAAGAAAATGAGTTATAAGATTCTTTTTTTAAAAAAAAATATAATACAGTTGAAATTCAGAGTAATAATTTTGAGGTGGGCTCTTGATTCAAGAGAAGAACTAATAAAAAAATTATAACACTATGTATTTTCAAAAAAATAACTTGAGGTGAGAATTGTTCTTGATGGCATATAGAAATAAAAGTAAATTTTTGGATTTTGAATAAAAAGAGGAAAATAACGAGACATAAGAGAATAAAAAAGGTTAATGTTTGATAGAATTATAGAAGTTTTTTGAATGAAAGCTCACATGGAAGATGAGCTGGTCTTAACCGGGGGAGAGGAGATTTGGATGAGGAGGCGAAAGGAATAGTGAAGTGAAGAAGCTGGAAGCCGGCAGTGAAACAGCTTATATATATTTCTTTCGGAATATTTATTATTTAATCCCAACCCAATTATTATTTCATTCCTCCTTTTAGCAAATATATTAATTCATAATTTTTTTTTTTTGTCAAAAACTATTATGTTTTTTATCATTCACCCTTATTTAAAATTAATCAAAAAAAAAAAACTTTCATCAGCCTACTGAATTAAAATTAGACTACATATGCTTATTAAAAATAAATTCTTTATAATAGACATTTATTTTATCCATGAGAATTTAATATTCGATAAATTAATAAATAGTATTATTTATTTATTTTTGGAAAAAGTGAAATGTAAATTTTTGCTTTTGTTGGGGAGGGGAGATTCTGGATGCTTGTCGTGAAGCATAGGATAAACACATAGAGATGTAAATAGTAGTTTAAGATTTTTTTTAATTGCCTTTTGTTTTGGTTACAATCTGGAGAATATGATTCTCATTTCTTCTTGTATCCTTCACGTTTTATATAATATTTGAACATATTATATTATGCATGAAACAAAATGTAGAACTTTTCTTTTTTCTTTAAAGAAAAAGAAAGAAAAGGAAAAGAAAAAGAAAGAAGTAGAATTTGATTTGGGCTTTAGATGACGAATTTTATATAATGAGAAATAATTTTCAACGTGTAACTTTATGGACTTTGAATTTCAGAAACAAATTAAAAAAAAAAAAAAAAAAAACTTTTCTTTCTTTTTTCTTTATAAAGAAAAAAGAAAGAAAAGGAAAAGAAAAGAAAGAAGTAGAATTTGATTTGGGCTTTATAATGAACGAATTTTTATATAATGAGAAATAAATTTTCAAACGTGTAACTTTATGGACTTTGAATTTCAAGAAAAACAAATTAAAAAAAAAAAAAAAAAAAAACAAAAGAGTAGCTTCCTTTGTGGTGTTTGAAATACGTGTTTTCTTTTTTTTTTTTTTTTTTTCTTAAAAAAAAAAAAAAAAAACAAAGAGTAGCTTCCTTTGTGGTGTTTGAAATACGTGTTTTCTTTTTTTTTTTTTTTCTTTTTTTCAACCATTTTTTGTTATTTAATTGTAATTCTAACAATCAAATTTGGAAGCTTTTGACTCTTGGATCTTTTGGAAATTATTTTTATCATAAAATTTTCTTGCACCAACTAAAGCTCTCCCCCTTTCAAAGAATATGATTTCTCCTATCCAGGTAAAGAAAGTTCCGTTCTTTTTTTACATTTCCTCTTGTGATTTTTTTGAAGATTTATATATTAAGGGTAACGTAGGAAACATTTCTATTTTGTCTCTGAAAAATCTTTAGAATTACCACTGTTTAGTTTTCAATTCGCTTTTGTCCATTAAATGAAATGTGAATAACCCGTCCTTCTCTTCTTTGGTCTTTCTAACAATACGAATCTCTTCTTTATCGAGAAAATGCATATTACAATAACTGCTGCTAATACAGAGACCACAAATGCAGTTAAGCCTCCCAATCCAAGAGTCATCTCCCCTATCCTTTTTCTTCTGTTATGGGTAAATCAAAATACTTAATAGTATGACGATACATTTATATAAAACTTCTACCTCGAGCACACACAATAGAGCCGTAGACAGTCAAGTGAAAGCTAATATACTAGAATTTTCTTTCTTTATCATCAATCGAATCACTGTTCACGATCAAAGTTTCTATTTATCATTAATCCAATCACCATTCATGTTTTTTTTTTTTTTTCATATCAATGAATAAATCTTTTTACTTATATGACTTAGATGTCTTGTATTTCTGAAAAAAGTGATTCAATTGATGGAATTTTGTATGATACTTATGATATCGATGAGATTGATATTCAAAAATTTTAGAATTTATCACTAAAATATCCCTAGAGGGGATAGGGCTAAGAGAAGCGAAAAGGGTTTTTTATGAAAAGGGAAATGAAAACTATCCACCCTACACGAGGTTTGTGAAGTTTATCAAAATTGATTGGTGGTGTTTGGTTAATTTCAGTCTAAATAATTGAAAACCAAAACCAAAATTGGGTTGGACTTTGGTTTTGACACAATTCAAAACCGAAAATTTTAACTCAATCCGAGTCTTCTTTTTTGTCAAATTAATTTTGATCCGATTTCAATTTGAATCTACTTTCATATGTATTCAAAGAGACGTGTTCATGGTATAAAAAATTTATAGGAGACAAATTCATGGTATGAAAAGATTAAACTTTTGTGTTAGGTGGTGGTATAACTTCAAAAAATAAACCTATTCAACAATATAAATTAAATAAATAACTAAAGTTTGCTTATATAAGGTTTTTTGTTGGCTCTATTTCCAGAAGGCTAGACCTAATTTTAAGTTTCTAAGGTTATCCATAGGTTTGCATATATTGGAATACACCCAAATGAAAGGTTGTGTATGAACATCCAATATAAAAGCTTATTTTCCTAGAAAAAGTATATGGAGAGAATAAAATTTTGATCTTTTGAATTTTTCCAATTTTGTCATTTTTCAATGAATGAAAATTTTGACTTTCTTATATTTGTTATCTCTTTTGGATATTCATATTCTTTTTATATTTTTTAGAAGGAATATTCCTATTATTTTCTTATGAATAATGGAGATTTCAATATTTCTTTTTAGATATCATGTAGATAAATAATTAAATACCCAATTAAAAAATAAAATGATTGGCAAGAATAGGAGTGTGCAATCAAGTGCAATTGAAGTTTTTTTTTTGAAATCGAACTGCACTAAAGTAAGTTGGAAAATCGAACCGAATTAGTCGATTCAATTTGATCAAATTGTTCGATTTCACTTAGAAAATAATTATTTTTCAATAATCGATCCAAAGACCAAAAACTGAAGTTATGAAAGATTGAAAAATCAAAAGTCGAAACTGAAAATCGAAAATAATTCAGTTTGATCCATTTTTTCGGAAGTTTGCTCACCCAGAAAAAAATAATACTTAATTTCTTCTCTAAACTTGTTTTATGTGATTAAAAAATGACATCTTTCTTCATTTTAAGACTAGTATTAAGCTTATGAACAATTTATTCCAATTTTTAGCCCAAAAAAATTTTTTTTAAATATTTTAAACTAAAAAGCTATTTAATTTAAAATCTAATAATCCAAAAATGAAGAGTCATATCTAATTAAATTCCACTTTTTAAGAGAAACTACAATAGTTAATAGTTATTCATTTTTACTGCCCCAAAATGTAAGGATAAAAATTGCAACTTTACATTGATATAATGAGTAAAAACATAAATATAGAGAAGGAATATGCACCCTCCGTGAAGATCTATGACCTGCAAAACCTCAGGAGTCGCCATTGTTGATCGATTAAATAATTGATTTGTTTCCTTTTTGACTTATTTTAGAGTTAAGTGGAGCAAGAAAATGAGAAATTGAGATGCTAGAAAAAATGGTGATGAAGTTCAATATAATTTTTTTAATTAATAATGTTAAAAAATGAGATAAATGCATATATATAATATATATAAATAAAAATGAGATAAATACATAAACATATAAATGTCTTCTCAGTGAAAAGAATCTTTATGAAAGAAACATATATAATTAAAAATAAAAATACCAAAATAAATTAATATATCTAATTCAGTAATCCATAAACGGTATTTATAGACAAACCAACAGTTGCATGAGCTGTTCTTGTTTTGTCACCATCCAACCAAAAATGACATTTTTAATTGATAACAAACAAAAAACAGCAATGGAAGTTTGAAACTTGGTCAGACCTTGCAAATATCAGATTTTGTCTTATGAAACCTGAAATGTCGACTGACTGCAATTATAATTATATCATTATCAACAATAATAGAGACAACAAAAAAAAAGAAACTTAAAGAAAATGAAAGACTGCAATAAATTAAAATAAAAATTAAACAACACAATATACTTTTCTTAATTGAGTTTAGCAATTAATCATGAACAATCAAAAGTAATTATGAGATGATAATGCAAACCCATGTCCAGCGGCAGAAGGAGGGACTAAGGGGAGCCTGGCCTCCCAAGCTCCGAATTTATTTTAATATTTTGCTTTACAAGATAGTTTGGCTGCGCATATCATATCATACCCTGTTCGGAAATGGCTTTTTATATAACTTTTAACGATTTGACTCAAGTTGTATTGGACAACAGTTTTTTAAATAGTCAATTAAAATATTAAATGTTATTTTTTATAGTGTTCGGTAACATAGCATTTGAATTAGCTTTTAAACGTTAATGTATTGTTTTGTAAAAAATTAATTCATATAACATTTAATTTTTAGCGTACCAGTTTTTTAAATAGTCAATTAAAAATATTAAAATGTTTATTTTTTATAGTGTTCGGTACATAGCATTTGAAATTAGCTTTTAAACGTAATGTATTGTTTTGTAAAAAAATTAATAGTGTTCGGTAACATAGCATTTGAATTAGCTTTTAAACGTTAATGTATTGTTTTGTAAAAAATTAATTCATATAACATTTAATTTTTAGCGTTTTATGAAAATCTACTCAAACAGTTAATAATTAAACGTTATTAAAATAGCTAACAGTTATTAAAACAGCTAATTTTGCCGAACAGACCTTTATTATTTACGGTGTTCGGTACTGTAACATTTTTACCAATGTTTAAAGTTTGAAGGAGTAGGTAATAAAACGTTATTTCCTTCGACATTTGATGAAACACTAGCTACTAGAACTACTAAGAACTACTGAATGGATTCCAATATAAATAAAGGTTAATCATTCTGCCTATGAAAACTCTCATTAAGGTGGTTGATCTATCCTAACTCCTTACAAGGAAAAAGCCCCAGTTTATAAAAGTAAAAAGTAATTTCCTGCTGTAAAAAGTTACATTATATACATATGATTTTACCTATTTGTACTGTTGCTTCAAGTGTTTATTTCAAGGATTAAGAGCAAAACCTAACAAAACTAACTACACTGACTTAATGAAGTGAGTTGGCCAACTGATAAACAGAGATTATACCCACCAAAACTTACAAATCTAAACATACTAAAATTAGACTTTGTAGACAATCGGTATCTTCTTTGGTTTAGACTTTAGAAATTAATCACCTAATATCTGCAAACTTGAACAACTGGGCATGGCTGAAAATCCCATATATAAATCACCACAAAACAACCCATTCCACTATATCTTTGCAAAATAAATTTTAAAAAAAAAATTTGTAAGATGATAGTTGCAAGCAGAGTTTTCATAGCAACATTAATTTTAGTAGCAGAGGCAATAACCTTAGCTTCTTCTACCACTAATTCATCAGTGGTCACATATATTTTTGGTGACTCGTTAACAGAAGTTGGTAACAACAATCACCTTCAGTCTCTTGCTAGGTCTGATTATCCATGGTATGGGATTGATTTTACCGGAAAACAGGCGACCGGAAGGTTCACTAATGGGAGAACTATTGGCGATATAATATGTACGTTAATGATCTTAATTATAATATATAGGCTGATATAATTATTGTACGTTTTAATGAATCTTAATTTCTATATATATATTATATACTATTATATATATACTATATATACTATATAGGATATAGATATAGATATATTATTTTATTTTATATATTTATAAGTTCTTTAATTTGGCCTTTTTTCGAATTTCTTATGGAAATGAAGCCGAGAAGCTAGGGATTCCATGATATAGATATAGATATATTTTTTATCTTTATATATTATAAGTCTTTAATTTGGCCTTTTTTTCGAATTTTTATGGAAATTGAAGCCGAGAAGCTAGGGATTCCATCACCACCACCTTACCTTTCTCTATCAAGCAATAATGCTGATGCATTGCTCAAAGGGGTTAATTATGCATCCGGGGGAGCAGGAATTCTTAATGAGACTGGACTTTATTTTGTAATACCTATTTATTTCAATTGTAGAATGTATTTTTTTTCTTTTGAAATTAAAATTATTATGGTTGATTTTTTTGTAATTTATACATTTTTCGCAGATTCAGAGATTATCCTTCGATGATCAGATTGATTACTTTGAGAAGACTAAAGAAGTAATTAGGGCTAAGATAGGAGAAAATGCTGCAAATAAGCATTGCAATGAAGCTCTTTACTTCATTGGAATTGGTATTTTTTTTTTCCTTTCTTTTTCTCTGGGTTGTAAATTCCATTTGAAGGGTACTAAAAATAATTTCTGGGTGTATCTGCAGGGAGTAATGACTATGTGAACAATTTTTTACAGCCATTTTTAGCAGATGGTCAACAATACACACATGACGAATTTGTGGAACTCTTAATATCCAAATTGGATCAACAACTTACGGTAAATGAAAAATTATCTTCCTTCAAATAATTAAAAATCAACATTCACAGCAAATTTTTAAATATAAATTGCTTATTAATTATTACTACAGAGGCTATACCAATTGGGTGCAAGAAAGATGGTATTCCATGGGCTTGGCCCTTTGGGATGCATTCCTTCGCAGAGAGTGAAATCAAAGAAAAGGGGATGCTTGAAGAGAGTGAACGAATGGGTTTCAGAATTTAATTCCAAAGTGCAAAAACTAGTTACCACTTTAAACCAGCGACTTCCCAATGCCAAGCTCTTGTTTGCAGATACATATGGAGATGTTTTAGATTTGATCGATAACCCTACAGCTTACGGTAATCTGAAATCCCTACTTTCATTCACTAAGATTTCGAGCATCAATTTCCTTCATGGATAGCTAAATAATTTTCCATTTTTACTGCAGGTTTCAAGGTCTCAAACACCTCTTGTTGCAATGTAGACACATCAGTAGGAGGATTATGTTTACCAAACTCAAAATTATGCAAAAATCGCAGAGAGTATGTGTTCTGGGACGCATTTCATCCTTCAGATGCAGCTAATCAAGTTCTTGCCGAAAAATTCTTTTCACTTCTGTTTACAGATAAACAGGCTGCTCCTCCCATGTCTTATCCTCCGATCATTGCACCAACCCCTTCTCATTGAGTTACAGTCTCTAAACTAGTATTAGAGCAAACACAATTCCAAGATAAAAAAAAAACTCAACATAAATGTAGGATTTTATACACTTCTATTATCTATAGATATTTTACTTGAAATGAATGTCAAATAGCAAAATGTGGAGATTAAGAAATAGTTGTAATACTAATTGAATATCTTTAGCATGTTAATTGCGAAATATAGAGATTATGAGATAATTGTAATAATAGTTGAGTATCTTGATCATGTTTTGTAGCTTCATTAATCAAAATTGCAGCCCAAAATTTTCAGATTCGTCAGTTTCAAACAAAATTAAATTTTATAGACTTCCCTTCCAATCATTGCACATATAATTCTGCTATATGATAATGAAAAGCTAGACACGACCGCATTTTGGTTTCAAATTGAAACAAATTGGATTCGAACCCTTTAAAATGGTAATCAAATCGTAATCAACAGTTCTCAATTTCAAACTGAAAATGAAAATGTATGCCTCGATTCAATTACAATCGTCTATTTTTTATTTCAAATCAAAACCAAAACGGTAATCAAATTGTGATCTAACCGTTATCAATTTCAAACTGAGAATGAAATTGTATGCCTACCATTCAACAAAATTCAATGCTCTCAGTTGAAAGGCCAAAGATTGTCCACATGAGAGAACTTGAAGAAAGGCGAAATCCTCCTTTGTTTAAGCGTTACTTGTAAGTGCTTGACCGTGCCTTCATCTTCCCTCTAAAAGAGAGAGATATCAAGTAATGAATCTCTACTCTGTTAGAAACAAGAGTCTTCAAGCACAAACCAACCACATACAAGAAGAATCATCGACTTAAACAAAAAGTGATCTGAAACCCTAACCTCCATTCCTCTATTCAGTGTGGTTAAAGCAAATTCAATCATCACTGAGCATTGAAATGAAATTCAAAGAAATTGAGAAAAAAAAATGTGAAACTCTCGAGAAAAAGCAAGAAATCATTGAAATTTAGAAATCTGCTTGTCCAAAAGTCCCTTTTGATTTCGCATCGCTTCGTATTCTCTGAGCCACGGGTCAAAAGAAACGCAGAGAATCATAGGCAGATGCTAATTCGTTTGGTTGATTAAAACAAAATCAAAATTTCATAGTAAGAGACAATTGAGATTTGAAGCGAAAGGTTGGAGAAACTGTAAGCTTTGAATTAGATTGGAGGCTATCAGTACATGTGGGAATTTATAGCTACACGATTAGGGTTTTCTGAAAACGGGTTGGTTCCTATGTTCAAGTACAACCCGACCCGAATTTAAGTCGCAAACAAACGGTTATGAATTGAATTCAAATATTTTGAATTAGATAAAGTGTTCTGATTTTTCTTAAATATATTTCCAAAAATCATTAGAGAATAGAAAATTTATTTTATGAAAAAGCCAATGTATTTTTTTATATATATTTATACCTCGAGCTTGGCATCGCTCATGCCGATATTAAAATTTGAAATTATGAAATTATCAAGAATTTTTGCTAACCAATGAATAATAGTATATTTTTGTAAAATTATTTTTATGAGTTTAAAGTTATTTTTGAAAAATTCTAAATATAAGTTTTTCTTAAGTTAAATTAAAATATAAAAGGATTACATAAGCAAAAATAGAATTTTTCCCTTCCTAAATTCTCATCTCAGCCATAATTCAAATTTGAAATTTCACATTAAAAATTATATTTTAAAATATAAAAAATATATTTTTACAAAAAATTAAGTTAGTAAAATTTAAATTGTTATAAAAAAATTAGATTATTGATAAGTAATTTTATTTTCACGAAAATTTGGTTGTCATATTATAATAATATTTTATTATTATAAATATTATTTCCTCATTAAGTTTATTTACTTATTGAATTTTTTATTTTAATTATTTCATAAAATATTTTTTTTCTATTTTATGAATGCTTTTAGAGTAATTCAAATTTGAAATTTCACATTAAAAATTATATTTTAAAAATATAAAAAATTATATTTTTACAAAAAATTAAGTTAGTAAAATTTAAATTGTTATAAAAAAATTACGATTATTGAAAAGTTAATTTTATTTTCACGAAAATTGGTTGTCATATTATAAAATAATATTTTATTATTATAAATATTATTTCCTCATTTAAGTTTTATTTACTTTTGAATTTTTTATTTTTAATTATTTCATAAAATAATTTTTTTTCTTTATTTTATGAAATGCTTTTAGATTTAGCTCCCATAGTATATAAAATATGATAGTTACTAATATTTATAATTTTAAAAAAACTTAATAACTAATTATATATATATATATATTAAAGTAAACTTACATTTAATTTCAATGTTGTAAAACTCAACTGATATAAATTAAATTACATTTAATTTCAATGTGTAAAAATCAATGCGTATAAATAACGTGCAATACATGCCGGACAAAACTACTTATATTTAAAAGGTGACTGTGTTTTGATAGCTAGATTGTTAGTATTGTTCAATATTTATATTTACAAATTGAAAAGTGTTTGTTTAAAAAAGAAATATTTCCGCATTTTTTCAAAAGAAAGAATTATATAATTTTTGTTATGAGCAATTTTTTCTTTATGTACACATGTCTATGCTCGATATTTCCAGTAAGTGCAGAAAAAGTTTGCCTTTCTAAATTAGATGACATCATAAGGAACATTTTTAATCTTGTACCAAAAAATAAAAAATAAAAGAACATTTTTCTTTTATAGTCTCAAGCTGTGAGTGAAGTTAGTTTATTGAATCAAAAAGATTTTGAATAGCCTAATGGCTTTGAATGTATTCTTTGGCAACTGTATATGTCAAGTTTTGTTTTTTTGTTTTTTTTTTTTTTTTTTTTTTTTTTTTTCACAGGAAGTCATTTAATCTACATATTCCTAAAAAGAAAATGAAAAAAAGATTCATAGGAATTAAATCTCAGTTCTGAAATCGCTAAGCTGCACAAAGAATCACAAAACTCTCATTTGCAAAGAATAATAGAAGTTTCAGTTTGAAGCCAAAGTTGTTCTAGGGCTTTTCAGCTTTTGTTACAAAAATTTGATTTCCAACTACCTTACCTAATTTTTTGTTTTTTTTTTTTTTTTTTTCACAGGAAGTCATTTAATCTACATATTCCTAAAAGAAAATGAAAAAAGATTCTAGGAATAAATTCTCAGTTCTTGAAATCGCTAAGCTGCACAAGAATCACAACTCTCATTGCAAAGAATAATAGAATTCAGTTGAAGCCAAAGTTGGTCTAGGCTTTTCAGCTTTTGTACAAAAATTTGATTTCCAACTACCTTACCTACAATACCATCTGTTGCTATTTAGACCTTCCCCCAAAAAAACTGCATGAGTTGCAAAAGATTTCACCATTTTTACCACTCTACAATACAACTAAGATCCACATTACAACTCTCAGAAGCATTGAAATGCTCATGAAACCGCCAATATAAAAATTTCGAGCAGTAGAGTCTGAACTTGTGGAATTCATAGATGGAGCTGTAATATTTACCAGGGTACCATTGATCTTGCCAGAGCTACAAGCAAAAGTTCAAAATTAATTTACTTAAGATGCAAACAACTTGCATATGATGCCTATGTAGAAAGCTATTTGGAAACATGGGTGCTTACCTTTCTGGGAAGATACAGGTTCCGTGACCTACACCATCGAAGACAAATGGGTAATTATATATGTGAGCCATGAAGAACAACAACAAAATCAATAAGAATGAAAATAAGGTGGTAATAAGAGAAGAAAGAGCGGATTCCTATTGAAGTAAACTTCAAACATACTTGGATTTGTTGTGGTGACAGCAGCCACTCCATTGAAGTCACATGTACCGGGAGCCTTTCCCATTTGATGATAGTAAGTGTTGAAAGCATAAGTTGCATGTGCAATTACATTGTCCGGCTCGTAACAAGATTCTCCTTGCAATAGAGGTGAGCAATCAACCTTACCAGGTCCACATGCCCAATCCAAAGCAGCCTGCAACATCTTTGGATCAGCTCCTTCCTTTGCGGTGCAGTAAGTTTGGTTAGTCGTGTCGTTAGCTAACACTGATCCAGACCCAGCCAGGTGCAATATGTAAACAGGCTCTCCATTTACATTAAACAATCCCCAGTTCTTCTCTGAGACAGGTCCAGGTTTTGTGTCCTCATTATAGAGCTCATAAATGTAAGTACTAACAGCAATTCCTGGGTGTTTTGGAGTTCCAGTTTTGTTCAAAACATGCCTGATCAAATTGCTGTTATAAGTATTGGCATTATCTATAGTTGCATCCGGCTCATTGGAATCACCTTTTGATGGCCAACCAGTTTCAGTTACCATGACAGGAATGTTGGTGAAGTTCAGAAAAGCCATAGCAAAATATGCTGCATCAACCATAGCATCAAAGACATTGGAATAGTGGACTAGTGTATTAGCATCTACAGCTTCTTTGTTTGGAGGAAGAGGCTTGAGGAGTGCATAGTCTAATGGAATTACACCATTTGATTGCATGTAGTCATAATAAGGGTATACATTAAGTGTGAGGTATGAGCCTGTGGACTGCAAAAAATTGAGCATTGGAACTAAAACAGGGTTCCACGAGCGGTTAAAGAAGGCTTGGGAGGGTGGGAAAGAATCAAGAATAATAGAGGAAGAAAGAGGTGTTGAAACTTTGATTTGACGATCTAGATTCGATGCCACAAGGGCCGAGTGAATGTACTTAAGGGCATTGACAAGGACTGGTGCTGCATTAGGAAGGGTGGTCAGAATCTCGGAACCTACTGAAATAGCCGTGATATTGGTGGCTGGATAATGAGCCACAACATTGTGAGATACCCAATTAGCTGCAGTGGAATTTGACTGACCAATTCCAAGGAGTTGTTCATTAGGGACAGAGACCATAACCTGAATGCCACTATTTGCAAGCGCAATTAACATCCCACGATCAGCATCATATAACCGGACATGCCTAATCTGTTGGGCTTTGAGGAGGGCCACTATTTGAGTGGGATGGGGCATGTCAGAGAGTTCAGTTCCAATGTTAACACCAATAAATGGCTCTGCAATCAAGAGAACACACTTGTGATAATATTGCAATTATCTAAAGCAAATATCTCCAGTTATGCATATACAATAGGAAATGAAACTTGGAATTTGAACATTTGAAGATGTGATTTTAGTACCAAAGTAAAAATGCTTGGTGTAACAACTAGTTATGCCAAATGGTGTAATAATCACACATTTGGTAGCACAGAGAAACAGGAAAGTAAAAACCGTTCTTTTTTTGCATTATTTCCTTTTATAATGTAAGTATTCATTATTTCCTTTTATATTCAAGTTTGCATTATTTCCTTATAGATTGTAGGTCTAATGTTACAGTAAGGTTTATATTTGTTATGTTATGAATTGCTAAGTACAGTGACTTACCACTGGTATATATAGTGGCTAACTATACCAAATAGTGTCATGTTGATACAAAGGTTTAATGGAGGATTAAGCTGAAAAAAAAAAAAAAAAAAAAGGTTTGAATCAATCAATGTCTATAAGTGAAGCTTTATGGTACTTGCATTGCTGACTGTTTGGCACCATACAGCCTTCTTATTATTTGGCAGTAAGCCAAGAATGAGCAGCTTTTGGGGTTTGATATTTGTAGGTTTATTACATTTTGGCATTAGTTTTTCTACAGAAGTTAAAAAGTAAGGCAATTATATAAGGCAGGCTTCTTTAGAATAGATAATAACAGATCACATAAAAAGCATGTTGACATTATTTACATGTTAATGACAAATTTTCAACATGCATGAATCACAAATTCTCTGTTGGTGCAGCAATAAACTATTCAGTTGCAATATACTAGTATTCGATTAAGTTTAGAAATTAAAGAGGTAAAGACTATTTAATTGCAAGATACATATTTCTATAGAGAGACATGACCACATTGGCCCATGCCTTAACCAGGTGGCACCAAGTTCCTAGAAAAAGTTCCTAAATTCTCTAATTTTTTGACCCTTTGCACTACCAATGAATAGACCAAAGAACAAGAGAGTAAAAGAAAACAACTCGTGAGCTGGAGAGCAATACTGCCCATTGCTAAGTTTCCATTTATAGTACAAACTCTCCACAAATGAATCAATAAATAATACTCTCCAAAATATGCATATTAAAAATTTAGTCAACGGCAACAATCACTCTAAAAAGAGATATGGATACAAGAGCTCCTAATGGAAGACTTACCGAATCTGGATGCAGCATTTATTCAACTAAGATAAAAGTTAGTTTGCCCTTTTCTACCCTTAGTTACTCATTAAGATATTATAAAGCTATTCGTTTAATGAAGAATTATAAAGATTATTATGAAAAAAATAATTGTTTACATATATAAATTTTAAACCTTATAAACATTTTGCAACATCGAAAAAAGAAATAACAACCAAACAAAATGAGACGGAGAGAGATTAATTAATAAAACTATTCATTCGCCTAAATTATTATAATAAAATATACATTTATTTGATTAAATTACTTTTTTATTGTTATCTTTAATATAAAAGCGACAAATATTCTTAATATTTTTAATCAAATTATAACAATTAATTCCCTAAATTATAATAAAATTAATTAATTTACTTCTTAACATTTTTAAAGACAAATAATTGTAGGCAAAACATTTTCTCTAAAATGATATTTGATTATGGATTTAGAGAGTAATTAATTAATTTCATAATTATTGGTTGAACTTTGAGGTGCTGGGCATTTAGGATATTATGCTTAAATTCAGGGGCAAGAAAATAATAAAATCTATAAACACCAAACCACCAGCTGTCTTCCACAATAGACAAATAGAAATAAAAAATAATTGATTGAGAACCCTGTCTTTCATTTAATTACAGAACATTCTGCATTTACTGTACAGTGTTTAAATCCCCCTCTATCTTCTAACTCCTCTTTCTCTGTCATATCCTTTATGTCATAATTTAATATCCAACCTACTCAAAGACCAGACCAAATTACCAATCTGCTTCTCTCTTTACATACCCACCAAACATTTTGCTGATCAAGCTCTACCAAAAGAATACCAATTGAAGGATTTTGGCAAAGACAAAAATATCCAGACAATGTGAAACAAGGAACACCTCAAAAATAATAAGATTATAGTAAAAAATCTTTACTTAAATAAATGCATAAACAGAAAAAAACAAGAAATGCAAAGGCAAGAATAATGTTGTACATTGTTCATTAACTGCTGCAACTGCAAGAACAAGAAATGAAAAGATAAGAATAATAATGTTACCTTCATCTGCTGCTGCAAGAACAAAAACCTGAACTGCTAAAAGTATGAGCATAAACACATCAGCCATAGATTCAATCTTCCAAAACATGCTCTTGTTCTAAAGAATCTTGGAAAGTTAAAGAAAAAAAGAAAAAAATAAACTCAATAATGCAGAGAGAGAAAGAGAGAAGGGAGAAAATTGGTGTAGTAAGTGAGAAAGAAAACCAAGAAAAGAAAGTGGGGCTAAGATGGAAGAAATATAGGAGAGAGGGAAACAGGATTCTTGATCACGTGGAAAGATGGTCAGAGAATGGACGGTCATGATATCATCTGCAAATTTTGATACAGTGGTTTATGTTAAGAAACCAAACCCAAGACAACATTTCTTTTTTTCTCTTTTCTTGACATTGGTAGCCGTTTCCATGTATTGCCTCTCAAGACAAGCTTTTTTGCAGACGTGTTATTGCCTATTGGTGACAAGAACAGGCTATGGGAGGTGAGTGTGGACCCATTTTTTTATTTCTTAACTAAAAAACAAAGTAAGTGGGGACAGATACCTGGCCTCAACGGTCAAATTTGTTGTCCTTGTTTAACGTTTTTCTGATTTTTACATGTATTGATTCGTTGCTTTCTTGATTAATAATAGGCAAAATCATTTAATGTTATGCTTTTCTTTTCCTAGATTTCTTGATGATCATAATCATCTTTGGTGATTATTAAACGGTCAGTTGGAAGGTAATCTGTTTTAAATTTTCAAAAAATTAAAATAAAAAATTACTTAATACCACCATATTATTATGTTGCTAAATACTTCTCACATTTGTGAAATTTATAAATAATAAATTATTTTTTTTCATTTCACCATTTTATATGACAAATGATAATTGCTTCCCTTCCTAAATAAATTATTATAACTTAGATAAATTAAGGATAGTATATTTACTTAATAATTTATTATAACTTCCTCAATAATTCATTGTAATTGAAATAAATTGAATATTTTTTAAGGGATGTGAAAATGTAAATATAACAAGTATTTAAAAACAGAAATAGCATAATTCATATCATATCATTTTATATACCATTATTTTACGTAGTGTTGTGGGCTCTTCATTATGGTTAAATTCTCAAAAAAAAAAAAAAAAAAAAATCAAAACAGAAATTATAGTTCAATTCTTTCAAATTTGGGAACCGACATTACAATTACATAAATTAGAAATTAAGAGTATTTTCGACATTATTGATTATTTTAGTAGCTATTTGTTGTTGTAATAATTATTAGTCATTCTATTAACCGTTAGCTTTTAGCTTTTAGTTGATAACTGCTTATATTATGTCTATTCAGCAAATTTAGTTGTTTGAGTAATTTTTCATGAAACGCTAAAAGCTAAATATTACATGAGTTAAATTTTCATAAAACGCTACCTTAACCTCTAAAAGCTAGAGACGTTATGTTATGAACATTATAAAAAGTACCGTTTAGCATTTTGATCATTCAAAACGCTAAAAACTACTTAAAAAGTTGTTGTAAACACAACCACTACGGCTTAAATTAGAAATATTGGATAAAAATAGTTATTTAAATAACTGCTTAATTTAAAATGATAAAAAATGATATTAATAGTTTGATTAGTTGAATTCAGGGAAAAAAAATTGGTATGATTGTCCAAAAAATTTAAAATTAAAAGCTAAATGCTAAACTTTAGAAGCTAAAAGAGCATTTAACGTTTCATAAAAAGTTTTGTCAACTTGTAAAGACCATCATAAAAGTTATGTTATGAAATGCTAAAATTAATAGATATTAAAATAGTGATAGAGTTCTAACTTAGTCAAAATGCTAAAAGCTAATTCAAAAGTTATTGTCAATAGTACTGTTCAACAATAGCTTTAAGATAGCTTTTAACATTCTAGCTAAGCCTAAACACTATTTTTTTAGTTATAGTAAACATTAAGGTAATTTATATGCTCCATTCGTCCCATTTTATTTACTTGTTATTCATTTTTTGAATGCTACACAATGTTTGCATGGTTTCTAAATTTTTTCATTTAAATAATTATTTTTCTCATTATAACTTTTCGTCATTCTTCATTAAACGAATGACTTTTATTAATATTTTAATAAGTTAAAATTTACTTGTTATTCATTTTTGAATGCTACACAATGTTTTGCATGGTTTCTAAATTTTTTTCATTTTAAATAATTATTTTTTTCCTCCCATTATAACTTTTCGTCATTTCTTCATAAACGAATTGACTTTTATTAATATTTTAATAAGGTTAAAGGTAAAAAATGACAAAATAATTTGTGATTAAATTTCTTAATATCATATTTTTTTATCAAACCGTGCAAAATTAAATATAAATAATTATTTTTCTCATTATAACTTTTCGTCATTCTTCATTAAACGAATGACTTTTATTAATATTTTAATAAGTTAAAGGTAAAAAATGACAAAATAATTTTTGTTGATTAAATTCTTAATATGCATATTTTATCAAACCGTGCAAATAAAATAAGAAGGAGGGAGTAGAATCTTTTAGAGATTATGAATGAGCATTTAATGAAATGTTTATATCATGCTTCCTTAGTTTAGTTATGGTTGATTTATCTTTATTTATTTTACTTATAAAATTCTAATTATTATGATAAAATATTATGTTTAAACTCCTGATTTTAAAATTTAAAAATCAGGTTATTTCATTGTTAGATTTATTTTATATTCTTGTCAATTTTATGTCAATTTTGGCTTAGTAATAACACCCTCGATTGAGATTAAGGACGATATTGCAAATGAAAAAGTATTTTGATCCTTTTTAGATTATCATATGACACTCATAAATTGATTTAAAAAATAAAAAAAAAAGCATTTATTAATCTACGTTAATGTTGCATAGATTAAATTTAATTTTTTGTAAAAATTTAATAATAATTAATAATTTAATAATATAAATTTATTTTACTTATCAAAAATTCTAAAGCATCACGTAAAAGTTAAATTAATAAAATATGATTTTTTTATTTTATTTTGTATTATCTACGTTTTAAGGATGAAAAGGATTCTAATTTTTGTAATTTTTGAATTGATATAATCAAATTACTATTCATTTAATAAAAAATAAATTACTTCTTAAATATTTTCATTGCACCAGTTATCATTTTCTAAATCCATAAATATGTCATCCACTATATATGAATATAATTTTATATTTAAACGCAAATTTAAAATTTTATTTTTATTTTTAATTCTTTTATTTATTCAACAGTAAGATATTATAGGACTGTTAAAATATAAAAGTTAAGTACCTTATATTAGGATTCAGACTTAAAAATTATATTTTAATATTATTAAACCAAATTAATTGGTCAGTTTTAAAAAATTTTCGTGGTTACAAGACAATAAAAATAAGTGAAAAGACAAATGCACTATCTTAATATGGAAATATATTTCTATACTTTGAGGTAGTATCTAAGAATGTGAATGTTACAAAGTTCAAATTAGAATATAATTAGTCAAATGTATAAATATACTCTTGTATTTTATAGAAAAATTTTGTGATGCCTAAACTTTGTAAGTTACCTATTATATCTCTGACGTTACAAATTTTGCTAATATTGAATCCTCTCCGTGCTAATAACATTTTTCTTGTATTTTTGGTATTTATATGCAAGATATTCACTTAATATGTGGTTAGTATAATCTTTGGAAGAATGATTTTTATAATTTTCAACTATTTAATAAGTTTTCCAAATAATTACTACAAGATATTCGAGAATCAGACTTCCCAAAATATGAAAAATCTTACCAAATATACATGTCTTTAATTCACATTCTCATTAATTCGTTTAGATCTTCTATTCTCAAGATTCTCCTTCCTTAACTGGTTAGGAAAATGAACACAAACCCTATAAATAAATAAATAAATAATCCTCATTGCTTCTCTTATTAGCCATGGCGCAAAAGGCAAAACCAAGCCGTTGGAGTTGGGAAGAGAACAAAATTTTTGAAACAAACTTTGAGTTTCTGATAAAAGAGGAGTGGGAGAAAGTTGCTGCTTTGCTTCCTGACAAAAGTGTTGATGATGTTAAGTTGCATTATGAGCACCTTTTAGAGGATCTTAAGCTTATTGGCTCTGGCCATGTTCCGCTTCCAAAATATGTTGAAGAAGAAGAAGAAGAAGAAGAAGAAGATGGACAAGTTAAGAGTGATCATCTTTGACAAGAAGAAGAATATGTTGATTTCAAAATGTTTATGCAGTGATTATCTTTGACTGACAAATGGAAATTATTTTCTCAAGCCAATATATACTGAACAATGGAGATAAGTGATGGTTCTTCTTAAGGCCAAGGGATAGGAAATACCCCAATGGAGCAAAATTAGGAGATTCCCAAATTAAATGTTTGCATCTCTTACATTCTGGATTTGTTTATTGAGTATTTTTTTTCTTTTTTTTTTAATCGAGAAATGCATTTTTATATTATTGATTAGTATAGCTAAAAAAAAAAAATTAAAATGAATGAACCAAACCAAACTATAAAAAATCAAAACAAAATACTACCTCCGTCCTATTTTGTTTATTTGTTATTCTTTTTTTTGGATATCTCAAAATGTTTATAAGGTTTCCAAATTTATATATGCGTAAATAATTATTTTTTCCATAATAACTTTTTTATCATCATTCATTAAATAAATGCCTTTAATTAATATCTTAATGAGGTAAGGGTAAAAAAAAAGAGCAAAATAACTTTTGTTGACTAAATTTTTAATATTCATGTTTTGTCAAACTATGTAAATAAAATAAGACAGAGAAAATAGTTTTTTTTGTTGAAATTGAATAGCACTGAAATAAGTCTAGATATTAACTAAACTGGCTGGTTTCGTTCGAACCGACTAAAAAAATGATTATTTTATAATAACTAATTCAAAGATTAAAAATCAAAAACATAAAAAATTGAAAACTGACGTTGAAACCCAAAATCGAATAATCCAAAATAATTGGGTTTGAATCGATTTTCTTCCAAAATATGCTCACCCCTAAAGAGAGGTTTAGTTTTAAACGGGTGGGTTATCAATACCCGCTTCGCTTCTTAAATCTTGAAAGAGACATATCAGTGTCGTTACTAAAACTAATGGAAAAGAAAAACGAAATATACGAAATAGTAATTGCAGTACTTTGGATTACAAGATTTTGATTTTTGTTTTGGATCTTCGTCTCTCTCGCGCCACTAAGCGTGTCACTAAACAGACTCCTTTTCACTCTCGTTCGATACTCCTACTCTTTCCGCCGCTCGCGTTATAAGGTAAAATGTTTTCAATCCCTAACAGAGCAGCTCCTTCGATCAACTAATATTAAATGCAGTTCTTTTAATTTCTTCTTCTCGATTTCTACTATTTAGAGAAGGTCATGGATTAGATTGTGAATAGAGACGGAGAAGCATAACGATGCTATGGCTCAATTGTGCGGCTCTAATGGAATTTCTATTAAACTCGAAGGTGAAACTAATGATTCTTGTAGCTCTAATGAGCTTGACCATGTTCCGTTGATGAGTCGGCGAAAATTGTTAATGAAAAAGAAGATGAATTCATGCTGCGCTAACAATAATTCAATGTCAGTGATTTCTTTTGAGGATCCTTTTTACCTTTTTTTTTCCGTCTAATATTTGAAAGTTTGTGGGTTTGGAATCTAAAAGGGCTTTGATTGAGTTTTTATTCTCATCTTACTTGAAATCTTGAACTTACAGTCCTCATATGAATGTTGCTGTCATAAAAAAGGAAGACGAGCACTGTGATCCACAGGTAATTTAGTGGGGCTTCCTGATTCTGATATTTAGAGTTGGCAATTTTTCTTTTTCACTTTGTCTTCCTATTATCTGTACGCATTTGTTTCTGCATATGTAATCAATAAATAATTTGTCCTTAAGTGTTTGAAGTGCTATTCGAAAGCAGATGCTGAAAGTATGTCTGCTACGAGATATGACTTCAATGTTTAATTAATTTTCTTTTTTTTTTTTTCTTGGAGTTTATAAGAACTTCAAGTGGTGAAAGTGTGTCGTACAAAATCCGTGGAGATGTATGATTGGAAGGGGAAAGAAAGAAAGAAAGAAAGAACAATATTCGTGGAGGTCTATTGTTACAGGTTGGGTTGCTAAATGGAGGAGGGATGTTTATGGAGTGGGTATTGAAAAGGTTTAAACAAGGGTTAGATGATTATTTCTTCTTTGTGCTTTTTGAAGCATGGCATTACATGTGTTTGATAGCTTTTAGGAATTTTTTTCTTATGTTTTTGAAGGTATTTAAGTGTTTTAGATTGGTGGAAGAGCCTTTCTTTTCTATCATCACTGCCTATGATATGAGGGTAGACCATATAATTTACCTTGATAATTCCTTTTGACAACTATAATTTATTTCCTATCCAGTTGCGACAAATGAACCTTAAGCTACAAAAATTTACAGTTCAAACTGCCAAAATTTGCACCAACAACTATTCCAAAAATTTGACTTTCTTTTTTTGTCTGAATTTATTATTCTTTAGAAACCCTAAATATTCAATTTCTTCTACTCCTTAGCTTTCATATAATGCCTAATGCAGTGTAGTTGCTAATTGCTACCTGTCCCTTATCTGATGATGACTTGTTTATGCCAAAAGGGTAGGTGCATAAGAGTGAGATTCAAACTTAATGTTCAGGATAATTTCATATTAAGTTGAACACTAAATTATGATGTTTCCAAGTCTTGATGAATTTAAGTTATAGAACTCAGCCAAGAAATGGCAACATGGTTAATGCATAATGAGGATTTTAAGATGATTAGTATGTCTGGAGAATATAGATGTAGTATGAATCATGCCTGAAACGGCTATGTTGGAGCCTACACCATTATTTCTGCCATTTTTATTTACAGAAAACATGCATCTTGCAGGGCCTTTTCGCTCACGCTCCTGCTTCTCCTGTCAGCAAAGAAACAGATCTGCAGTCAGTGCAAGAACAATTGCATGGAACTAATGCTCCTTTGGAAGTCGATTTTGTTGTTGCATGGGATAAAATTCAGGTGGATTATGATGCATCTGATAAGTGTTCACAAAATTCCGGTGCTTGCCAGGAGCTATCAGTGCAGGGAGGTTGTGACAGCCATGGGACTAATGTAGATGGAAACGTTTCTTCAGATAAGGTAATGGTTTTGACATTAATATTAATGCTGTTAGTCTGGAGAAAATTGATGCCAATTTACATAAATTTCCTGAAATTTCAATGTGAAGAAGCCTACCAAAGTAAGGATTTGATTACTTACAGAGTTTGTTAGGAGGCAGCATGAATGGCTCCATTGGTGCCGATTTTCAAGGGCTGAAGCCCAAGAGTAATATTTCCAATGACTTTACAGATGATCTTGATCATATTGTACTGAAAGAGCGGCGTAAGATGCTGCAATCTAGGTATATCTTTGATCACACATTCCCAATTTTGTGCACTGTCTACGCTGGAAAATCTTTGCCTTTACCCTTCTTAAGTCCTCCTTCCTTTATATTATTTGCTACTTTACAGGAAGATGGAGATGGAAAAGCCAATTCTTAAGGTAATTTATTGTGCATTTATTTGATTGATAAAGTAATGTTTTGCAGATCCTTGAAGAATGTTGGAATACTTTTTGTGGCATAGTCATTTACATCATCCATATTGTTTATTGGAAAGCCATTGCTTTCCTCCTTTTGAAAGAATAGCTTTAGTCATGGCTTTGAAGAAAGCAGCGAAAGAAGCCGAAAAAAAGCTCCTCTTTTGTTGTAGTTTCAAATCCTGGACTAAGGTTGCTTCTTGCATTTAGTCACATGCTTTTCTGTGCTCTTGTTTCATTTGGTAATTTATATTTATATTTTTCTTTATTGTTCGCCTGGGGGTCAATGCCTGGAACATGACTTAAGTGCCTTATGGAGATCCACGCGTTCATGCTTTTCCACAGAGTACTTTAGCTGAAAATTTTGAGCAAATGATCTGCCTTTTGCAATGTAATTGATAGTCAGATATTTATATATTGTACTTTTTGCCATGGCTCCTCAGTCTTCACTTATTGATACCTGGTTATGAAGATGCAAAAGAATAAATCTTAATATGAAAATGGGACATGTGAATTATGCATTTTGCTGCAAAACCTATTTTAGAGTTTCTTCCTTTGGTACTTAAATTTTCTAACTTCTTTCTCTTACCACTTAGTATAACATATATATACTGCACATATCTAAAGCAGGCTTCTTTATCTATATATCTGTGGTTTGCCATATGCAATGCGTAGATTGATTAGATTGCAAAATACTTGTTGATATTGCAAATCTAATTTCAAGGAAAATTGTTCAAGGGCTTGTACTCTCTTTCTCTCTCAAAATTATAGCTTTAGAACCATGAGGTTGGAAAATGAGTCGGTTATTGCTTAGGTGAAAGGAAAACTAGATCAGGGTTAACGCAGGGGAAGAATTTAGGGCAAATTAACTCTCAACAATTAGGGCTAGAATAGGTTGATTGTGGTTGGAACAAGAATGGTTTTAAACAAAACCTTAGAATTAAATTTTTGAATTGAAAATAAAAGATAATAGAATACATTATCTGATAATTGGTGTCCTATTTATACTAGTTAGGACAACTCCTAATCCTAGATTGAAAGTAATCCTAATTAGCTAATACTTCTAGATTGAAAAGTATTCTAATCCTAAATAAAGAAGGAAAACAGAATGTTATTCCTAATTAATTAACAGTTTCTTATTTAATTAGGGATTCTAAATAAACAAGGAAACCATAAAAAATACTTCCAAGATGCTTCTGCATCAAGGGTGTTTAGACATTCTTTCAACAAGTGTCAATATGAAATCTTTTGTTTTTTTGTGTGTTTGTGTCATGAATCTCCCATATTCTGTACTTCTGAATCTATTGATTGCATATGCTCATATCAGGAAATGCCTATTGAAATAAACTCACGCGATAGACTGGACAATTTTCACGTGAGCGCGAATAATATGTCTAGTTCAACTTTATTGAACTTGGTCAAAGTGAAGGGTGAACCAGTGGATAACGACGAATTCCACAACCAAGACATAAATTCCTGTCAAGAGCGAATTTCAGTAAAGAGCGGAATGATTTTTTTTTATGAAAGCAATAGGGACAAAGTAGACCACATGCAATTGCGGGATCGGATGAAGCTGCAGATACCAAGAGAAGATTTTAATCTAAACGCTTCAGAGAATTTTGAATGCTTAAGAAAAGATTTCCCTTCTTCTGTTGAGAATGGCGCTGCTGTTAAGGAAGCTTCAAATTGTGTTAGGATCAACCGACCACGGAAAAGGAAGAAGACTGCCACGTATTTATTTTCTTTGCTCTCTCTGTTTTTTCCCTTTCAAAATTGCTTTTTCTGTTTCCTGTTTCTGGGATCTCTTGCTCACTAAATTAAATTACAGGGATTCAATTGAAACGGCTATGGAGGAAGATGCTCCTGGGCTTCTGCAGGTAATGGATGCTTATTTTTCTTTCCACTGAGAATCAGTTAAGTTTCTTTATGAACATGTCATTTGACAGGTGTTAATTGAACAAGGGGTGTCAGTTGATGAAATTAAGCTCTATGGAGAGAGAGATAATGATGAACCTATTGGTGAGTCATTCATTGAAGATGGCTTTGCAGAGCTTGAAGCTGTGATATCAAAGGTTGGCAAAGATTCCTGAGATTATGATATGTATTAACTGGTAGATTTTTGTGGTCAATGTGAAATTTGGTTTGATTTTCTTTTGCCCTCCTCTAATGGTCCATGATTAAGTTGCTGATGACATTGTTATCAGGAAAATTCCTGATTGCATCATCTACTAATTACTTGCTACCAATTAATTAAAGCTTTTCTGGTAAAGAAAGAATTTTGGATTAACTTTTATCTATTCCAAAAAATCATAATGTGTTCTTTTTTTAAAATTTTTTTTCTGGCAAATCATGTTTGTCACTGATGCTATCATATCTCTTTTTTTCTGAAATATGACAGATATTTTTTCAGCGCAATTCATTATTAAAGTTCGCTCCTTTACACTGCACAAAGGGTTCAAAACCCACATATTGCTTGGCTTGTCTATTCTCACTTGTGGAGCAGGTAATTATTCATTCTATTAGAATATAGAATATTCTAAATTCTATTGTACTTATATTGTATTATATTATTTTATTCTATTATTTTGTATGAAACTGGTGATTTTAACATGGTGAAATTGGGATTTTTATTGTCCTTTCACTTTCATTCTCCTTGTTTGATAAAATTCACTCATTAATCATTGGCGACTCATCTTCAGACACGATATTTGAGATTTCGTAATTGGCCTGCTGAATGGGGTTGGTCTCGAGATCTCCAGTCATTTGTATTTGTTTTTGAAAGGCATAAAAGGTAATTTTGTGGCGAAAGTCTTACCTAAATTTATCTCTGCTTAATGTACTGGCAAGAGTGGTAATTAGTTTTACTTGAGTGCAGAATAGTGCTGGAACGTCCTGAGTATGGTTATGCAACATATTTCTTTGAACTGGTTGACTCCTTACCAATTGATTGGCAGGTCAAACGGTTGGTGACTGCCATGAAACTTACAAACTGTGGCAGGATATCCCTAATTGAGAACAAAACATTAGTGGTAATTCCCTTTCCATTGCATGACTGCTGCTTTTTGGTTGGATCAATTGGATCACTTGTTAAAAGAACAAATTTGTAGTTTATTAATTGGCTTACTATGTTGCTGTATCAGTTATTTGCAATTTGTGCAATACGTGTCTAAAGAATGCCCATGCTTAAATATAATATGACCATGCGGTAGTTCAGGTCAGTTTGTTTTTGGGAAAGAGTCAAAACTCAAACCGATGTATTACAATTATGGAACTTTCAAAATCAAATTGCACCCAACAATTCACTTTTGTTTTAATTAATTTTTCAAGAAACATTCAAAATTCTGACAGGGTGATCACTTAGGTTGGTAGGCTGTAATAAGTTGAACTGAATCAGACACCAAGTATTCAACTTGGGTTTGTTTTCTGTCTAAATCAACTCAAATTGAATATGAGATCCAGAAGTTGTTCAAGTCTGGTTTGTTAACTTTTTGAATGAGCTTGGGATTTTCTTGAGCTGGTCTGGTTGTGTAAAATTTACGCATCCTTTTTTTTATATATATATTAATAATGCATCCTTTTGTGTAAGAAATTTGCATTAATAACAAATTGTACAAGTGTTTGGGCCAGCGTCACCAATATGTTGAAAAACCATTTATAAACTTCATTCCACAGTATATATATTTCACAGGCAATCTCTCTCGGGAGCACTGGGTGAAAGCCTTAAGGTCGTACATCTCTCTGCTAAATAAATAGCACTAGGATCTAGTTCTGCATTATTTAATGTTGCAAATAATGCATTTTGAAAATATAATTCATGCTTTTGTGGTGTATGCCTTTATGCTTCTTAGTTCCTCGCACCCTCTCCCTCTCTCTCTTTATGAATTGTATTAGAAATGCTTAACATGACACTCTTAAAAGGGGGATTTATTTGCTGTAAATTTTGCATTTTTTTCTTGACTTGTTATTTTCATAACTAATGAAATCTGAATCGTCCATTAAGGTTGGTGAAGACTTAACAGAAGGCGAGGCACAGGTATTAACGCAGTATGGTTGGACACCAAATAGCGGCATAGGAACCATGCTTAACTACCGTGACAGAGTTGTTCATGACAGAAAGAATGAGAAGGACAACTCAGAGTGGAGATCAAAAATCGGTAAATTGCTGATGGATGGCTATAACGGGGGAAGTATAATCTCATCCAATGTCGAGACAAGGATTGTACAATGTGGGGCTGCTGAAAGCCCTGAAATTAAGATGGAGCTCTAACCTAAGTCCCTTTTTCTGCGCATCTCGTTGGTTGCAACAGAGGTAAAAGTGCTCTAATTAGTCTTTAGTATGACATCGACATGTGTAAATCATTAGATAAGTAATCATTAGGGTTTTGTGCAGTTAAGTACACAAATCATACGAATGTATTGTTCTATTGTTTGGATGTAGGGTAAAATTCCAATGTGGAGGTTTTCCCTTTCTTTTTCAGGGACAAATAGAGATGTTAGGACAAGTTTCCTAAGAATTAGGATGATTATTAATTATAATGGTTTTGTTGTGTGAGAAATCATTTTGTTATAGAGAGTGGTTTCTTGTTGGGTCTGGATAGACATCAATCTAGTCTCTTGAGAGAATAAAACTTGCTCTATGCTAATTATTGCCCTGTTTAAGAAAAATTATTCAGTAATTGATATGTAGATTCTGTTAAATATCATATGACTGTTTTTGTTTCTTACATGGTTGATATGTCCTAGACTTTATTAAGGGTTTAGTTTGGATAGGCTTCGAGTTGTTTTTACCGTGTTTTCTATGTTTTTATTCTTCACAATTCCTTTGTGGGAGACATTGTAAATGCATTTGACCAAAAATAATTGTAAGATGATTTGGATGGATGGAATTTGAATGATAAAATTTAAATATTTTATATATTTCCTATGTTGTTTTTTGGTTGAAAATATAATTTCTAAGTTCAGATTTCTTTTCCCAATATTAAAAAAAAAAAAAAAAATTGTTAGAAAAAGGTGTAGGTCAACAATTGGGCCATAATGGAGATGCAGTTATGAGCATAACACTTGAATCTAAACAGGCTTAGCTCAAACCCATTTGACCTTGTTTTCCTGCTATCTAAACCGGGCTTGTGACTAGAAGGCTAGAACCCTAACCCAGTAACCTTCTATATTTTGCAGTTTGCTCTGTTTTAAACAATTGCACTACGAATCAATTTGAAAACGAACTATTCAACACTTAAAATTTGAAAGTTTAGATATTTTTAATTTTAATTTATTTGATAATATTTATTTACACATCATTTAAAATGATAAGTTGAAAGTTTGCACTAAATTCAATAATTGACTAACTTTTAAATAGTGTTGCAGTTCAGAAATTCAACACCTAATTTGTATAATATAATGCTTGAAATTAAGCTTTTAAATTTCAACATTTAGTTTTTTTTTTTTTCCTTACCGAATACCACCTAAAATTAGGCCTTGAATGAATTTATCCATTTTAAGATCTCCTAAGATTGAATTGATATTTTTCCTAAAAAAAATAAAAAAAAAAGAAGCTTGAATTGATATTCCATTCCCTTAGGATAAAGAGCTAAAGATTGAAGAAGAAAGGAAAAAAATATAAATTTTTTCCTCATCAGTATTTCCACGTCATTTTTCACATATGAGATTAACTTCAATTTGAAGTTTTGTAATTGCTCTTTTAAGTATTTTTCCGTGATAACTTTATAAATATAATTTATTAAACTCAAATATATTTTATTACTTGACTCACTTATTAAAAATCTTTAGGTATAAAATTATTAATATTGAGCACAAATTTAATAATAATTGTAGAGTACAAGTTTTTTTTTTTTTTTTTTAAAAAAATCCAAATTTGTGTACTTATGTTGCCAATATAAAGTACAAATATTGCAAGCATTTTAATAATCTAACAATTGACCGTTTGTTTTATGGGTATTTTCAAGCTAACTTTTAGCATTTTGATTATGTTAAAACATTGTTTTTATTTATTTATTTATTTTTTGGTAATAAAAATATTATTTTTATTAATTATATTGTTTGATAAAGTAATATATATAGTAGCTTTTAGAGATGTTAAATGAGCGCTTTATAAAACCTTATCTCACTTAAGTTTAGCATTTTATAATAATTAATGGATAATTTTTTTGACACTTATCCCATTACTTTTTTACAAATTGACAAACTTTATTTGGACTTCTGTTCTGCAATAACTTTTTAAGTAGTTTTTAGCAAAACACGAGTTTAATATAGAGTTTTGGTGAAAATTAACTCATGTAACGTTTATGGTGTGTTCACTTATAGAAAACTCGATTAGTTTTCTACAAAAGTTTTCTAAAAAACTGAAAAATAGAGTTTTGTGTCAAATTATGCAGTTTTCTATTTGAAAAATTAGAAAACAGTTTTCTAAAATTTAACTAAGATTTGGAAAATAGTTTTAAATTGTTTTTCAGAGTTTTCCTTTATAACAAAAGGCATGTTTTTCAACTATTTTTTACTTTTTTAAAATTACATTTTCATAATTAAAATTATGATCTCTATAAATAATTTTTTCTATTAAATATTTTCATTTGAAAATTTAAAAATATTTAAGTAAATTAAAATTTTATATTATGCTTTAATAAATAAAAATGTTTAATATTATGCTTTAAATATAATTAATTTTATTAATTATAATATATTAATATCCTTTATTTTTAAAATTTTTTAAAAAAATGATATATTATATAAATAATCAATAGATAAAAATTCAAAAACTTTTACATACAAAAATTTGTAAATTTATTTTATAATATTTTATTTCTTATTTCTTTTAATTATGAAAGTTATAAATAATGTTTGTGAAGTTAAATTAAAATATGATTTTTTTATTATTATCAAGTGAACGCATTTTTCATTTTCTATTTTCTACTTTTCATTTTCTAAGAAAATTGTTTTATTAAAAAACAGAAAATAAAAAATAAAAAACTGTTTTCTGTAAGTAAACACACCTTTAGCTATTACTGTTTCATGAAAATCTACTAAATCAGCTAATAGTTAAATGCTACTAAAACAGTTAATAATTATTAGAACAATTAATATCACCGAATAGACTCATTGTCACGACCCGTTTCCGTGGGCCGGACCGGCACTAGGGCCCAGGTAAGCTTAAGGCCCCCGAAGCCCGTAGTAAGCCTGAAATAATACTAAACTTTACGCAGGTCAAAATAATATTAAACATTCAGCCCATATAATATATTGTTTATCGTAGTAAGCCTGAAACACTAAAACTTTACCGGCTCAATATAATTATATTGTTTATGTTAATACACGACTAATTGTATACAGTTTCTACAACTGCGGAGTCACTAACTAACATACATAGATTTTTATACATCTAGATACATAGCAAAATATTTATTGGTCTAGTAAAAATTTCTTTCTAACTCTGCGACGAAGGAACATAGCTTAGTCGAATTAAAGAGAAACTTTCGTCCTGGAAAATTAAACAAGATATGTGAGCTTTCTAAGGAGTAACATTATTGCACAACACATACATTCACACAAATGTATAAATATATATATATATATCAATCTAGTCATCCGACTAGTATATGCTCACGCAGCCAGTCACACAAAATGGCATGTCACCGGCACTCACAAACAATATCACCTTCAAAACCTTCAAATAATCACATCCGTGGAAAATTAGTCAGTGGAGTCACCTAAACCCCCGACGAGCCGTCCTCTTCAAACAGCCCATCCTCTCAAAACATGTGCACCCGGGGAAGCCCATCCTCCATATCTGGCCCGACCGGTCTAATAGATTATCCGGTGCGCCCAAATAAAGAAGCCAACCTGTGGTCAACAGTAACGGTAACAGTAGGTGCACACGGGGGCGCCGATCTCCCTTTTGCCCGGCTAACAAAAACAGAATCAGGATCCATAAAACAGAACCAGAATATAATAGAATTCAGAATCAGGATCCGTATAATAGAAACAGTCTCACAAACCCATGGTGACCCACTTAATCCCAATTCCACACAAACAAAGCACAGCAATAACACAACACAATTAATCAAGCATTTCAATTAGATGCAGACATATGGATCAGCTGAACATTGTAACTGCAATGCACAATCCAAACACCATTCCTCAAATGCAATTAAATAATTAAACATAATAATCTTAACAATAACAAACAACGATAAAATAAATAATAAATAATAATAATAATAATAATAATAATCATAATAGACCTATGATAATGATATGGTAGTTTAAAGCACTTTTATTTATTATGTTCGAATGTAAAAATTATCTAAATTAAACTTATTGTTAATGTTATCAAATTAAAATCAAGTTCTAAAAGTTCTACGAAATTTCGGCAGCAACCTCCCTAAAAAAATGGGACTATCAAACCTGTTTAAATATCCCAACAACACTAAGTATCATTCAATCATACAACACAGCCCATCCATCGGGCAAATTAAACAAATCAATTTCCGCATCCTCCTTCAAATTTCAACATCACCGCAAACAATCAAATTATAAATTTTACAATAACATTATATCTAAATACCTTATCCACACTTAAATTCTATTAGATTTATTATTATAAACTTTCACCTAACCAAATTTATGTAAGTAACTGAAATTAAATTTAATTAGTCAAATATTTTAAATTTCAATATAAATTAAATTAATTCAACTAATCAAACTTGCTAAATTAAATTAACTAATCAAGATTACTAAAATTAATTTAATTAACTAAAATTACTAAGTTAAATTATAGCCAAATTACTAAAATAAATTCTGAGAATTAGCAAAACTTGATTTATACCCAAGTATAATTTTTCTTGTCAGATTTTGCTAGATCGGGGTTTTACTTGTGCCAGATCGGAGCTACATGCACTGGGACTGCAAGTGGGTGGCCAGAGCGGCTGGCTGTGCGACTACAGGGGCGATGGCGACGGTGCAGCTGCAATGAGGGCTCGATCTGGTGTTCGGAGACTCACTGGATCGACGCTCACCTGGATAGATCGGAGGAGCAACCTTCTGTCCTTGCTTGGCTTGAACGGAGAGAAGCGTCGGTGATGATCTTTCTTAATTTGCATTTAAATAATTAAATACATTTCTAGGGTGTCAGTTTATTAAATTTAATTGGAAAATTTTTGAAAATAAAAATACGGGTTGTTTCAGTCTTCCCCCCTTATAAAAATTCATCCTCGAATTTTAAAAGTAGCAAGAAACTAGGATGCAACAGCTGTTTATGACAATGGAGGTTGTGCTTCTCACATAATGCTGCAACTGCTAATACTTATTCATCCCTAAAGTTTAGATATCTACCTTATCACCATAGTTAATTTAAACTTGAGTTATACTATATTTACAAGGAGTCAAATCAAATAAAATATTCATATCCCAAAGCACAGACTCGACACTAGTATTCACCTTTACACGTGATAATTTAAGTTTCTCGTAATCTCTGCTCAAGTAAGGGTTATTAATCTCATTAGCTATATAGCATGTGACCTACATTGATGTATCGCCTCATTTATCTCTCACTAGCTATTATAGGCAATGATCATCACTCAATAAGACGCTCATACACAAACCAAGTATTAAATCTTCTGATACAAGAATCCACATATACAAATTTACTAATATCCCAATTTAGAATCCTTATTTCAAAATTCAAAACCTA